TCTGAGAGGAAATCTGCAAATTCTTTTAGGAAATCTGTATACGGCCCTGGTGGTCTATACACAGTAGCCAGAGCAAGAGATACGATAGATTTCTTTTGCATATCTGACAGTGTAACATTAAGCATTAGTATTTCGAATGAGGTAAACCTGTATCCTGTCTTCTGAGTAACATTGAGAATATCACTATATATTGTTGCAACACCGCCGCCACGACCAGTCTGAAGGGGCTCATGCTTATAACAGTAGCTTGGTGGAGTAGACTCATTTAAACCAATATAATAATTTGGTTTGAGCCAGGTTTCAGTCAAGCAGAGTACATTAAATCTATTATTTGTGATTATTTCATTTACAATAACTGCTTTGGGTGCGAGCAATTTTCTGGTTTAATCACGATCAGATTTGTTCTAGATCCTGCATTAAATTTATATTTTGACCTCAATATTCGGGAAAAGACACAGTCTTTATCGATTGGACAGCGCAAGTACTTCTATAATTTAAGCGGGTAGAACAAAAGCCATCAAAAAAGTCTACTGAACCTTTCGTGTCCTCGTCGATACGTGGGAAGTGGTCATGACACGATGATCGTCGTTGCGGGCGATGTCCTGCCCGAGGGATTTGAGGAGCTTGATCGAGACGGTGCGTTCTGGGTGGAGATCTCGAGGACCGGAGGCGGTGGAGGGGGAGAGGTCCTCGCCCGGGGCCTGGCTCGCGTCTTCCGCTGCGGGTGCACCCAGGGTCCGTGGTGTCCCAGCGCCGGAGTGAAGGACATCTGGGAAGATCGCGTCCTGGGTGAACGGGGCCTGTGCAGAGAAACACACGGAGTAGAGGTGGTGGGAGAGTTAGCAGTGCGCTGTATACTTACCCCAGACTTGTGAGCGTCAGCCCGGGATGTTTCCAGCGTGGCTCTGCGCTGTCTCAGCTGGGCCTGCTTCTCCAACAGCATGTCGCGGATCTGCTTCTCTACGGCCTCCAGCTCGAGCTGCACCGAATGCAGCTCGAACATGTCCTCACCTGCACTCAAAGGTAGACACACATCTGCCATTAAAGCAAGTAACAGTGAGTAAAACAATGGTGATGTGTGTGAATAGAGTATTAGCAATGTAAGCGAGCGGCAACCACGCTGGCGATGCTAACGGGTTATAAGCGGACTCGGGAAATCAAAATAAAACTAGTGATAACAAGGCGCTCTGATTGTTTTTGTTGAACGATAGGGGATATATTCACACGAAAAACGAAAATGATGGTGTATAAAATTGATTTTAAGATAAAAAAAATAGACGATAAAGAATTAACTTGATGGAGCTCAAACCACTGATCTATATATAATGACAAAACACGCGGCAGCAACAAACAGGAAGTGACGAAACAGAAAAACCCATAACTATGAATATCTGTAAAGTTTCCATACTTAAAGCCCTCCCAGATACTGAAAGTGCTTTTTGTTTATCACTTGTAATTGTCTCCCCCACCCCCCCTTTATTACTTTATATTTGCTTGTATGTTTTGAAGCTTCCGAAACTCAGTATTTTAACAGCTAAACTAGGTCCAGAAGCTAGTTCGCATTAGTCACAATACAGGAAAAACACAGATATGTTGCTATGAGGTTGCTAGGCTATGCATATGGCTTGGGTCACTCCTTCAGTGTAAAAGTCTATCAGATTTTTCCACCTGTTTTATCGTCTGCCAAAAAAGGCATAATTGCTTAGTAAAGTAACAACACACTTCTTGTCAACAAACTGCATGATTTGAGCGATCATTCATGTCCATCACACAAACAATGCAGGACGCGTTATGGCCTGACATTTAATACTTGGGGTTTCTTTTTGTTCTTGTGACATTCTATAAATAGTGACTGTGTTAATCAACATTATATGGCATCCACAGGAAAACAATGACTCTAGGTGTATAATATGTTCTTGACCTAAGGTAATTTATTCCACAACTGTTCTCCAAAATGTTTTTTAAGTCATAGAGAATATCCTTAGTCATATGCATTTCATAAAACCGAAGGGCACTTCCATGGAAATGTCAAGCATACCATGGAAAAAAATATCTCATAACTGCACTGCATTAGAGTGCTATACCTGATTTTTAAAGTAAATTGCATCGTTCATCCACTACACAGAAGGTGTGCTCCAAAAAGAATTAAAGGATTATTTTTTTTTTTATTTCAGTTAATTTTATCATTAAGAACTTTCAAGAAAGACATGATGTCTGAGCTGGTTTGCTGGTTTTAGCTATAGTGTTTAGCTGAGAAGCAGACCAGTCTAAGAGACCAGCCTGGGGTTTGAGTTTGTTTTTGTTTTCCCAGCATGGCATACACTACCTTTTTCATTATTCCAGTAATTGCTTTGAAACACTAAACTGTCCCGACTCCCGAGCAAAGCTCAGACCTGAACCCTACTGAACACCGTTGGGATGGATTGTAACAGGGAGACTGACTGATGCTTTTGTGTACGTTTTGTCATCATTTTTGCAGCTCATTTTTGTTGCATGTAAAACTCTGAACTCAGCAAAAAATTTGAAAATGCACAATAAACCTGTTTTTAACATCTTTTGTAACAGGCTTTTATGAAGCATCATACAAATGTTCTACAGGTCTGTTACGCCTCAAATGTTGTCTGAATGCACAGCGCAAGCCTAAAGGTGAGTAGTAGTACTTCACTTTTGACAAAACTAAACACTATGCACCCTAGATGGTTTTGAAGTCATATACCAGGCCTTTTCACAGTTTGATACACTAGTATTTATTACTTTTAAGATAATTTCTTATGAAGTCAAGCGTTGCATGTATCTTCCAATAATTCCAGGACAAAACCTTATTTCGATCCTATTTTGAAAAAGTGTGATTTATTTCATTCGTATCTTGCATCTGTGTTGCTGATGAGTTGAGAACGGTTAGGACTTTCAAATTTCATATTTACAAAATATTTATATTTAAGACAGTAGCAATGAGTAACACAATTTTGTATAAATAGTGAGTAATCCAAACTTTACATCAATGATAAAAAAAAACAAAAAAAAACTGAGTTGACCTTATTCATGTTTCCTCGTTCCATGTGGACATGTAGGCCCTATGCAGTCTTTTAAGGTGTGGATTGACCTGTTTTGTGTTAATGTTTCTTGCTTTTTATTGAAAATCAAATCACCAAAGAGTATACTCAAAGAGCATGCCAACTTATTTAAAAAGTTATTATTTTGATTTATCTTTATATACATAATTTTAGTTTAGGTTTAAGAAATTTTGCTATGTGCTTTTGTAATTTGTATTTATTTTTTATTTTCTACTTAGCTTTATTTTTCAGTTTTAGTCTTAGAAATGCGAGTACTTAAATATTTTTTTTTAAAGTCAACACCTTTATTTATATAGTGCTTTTAACAACACAGATTGTGTCAAATCAGCTTTACAGTATCAAATAGGAAAATAGTGTGTCAATAGTGTGTAAAGTTTTATATGTATATATATATATATATATATGTTTTACAAGAAAATACTATTTTAATCAGAATACAGAGCCCATCCACAAAACCTTCAGACACACCACTGATCAATTTAATTAGGCTTTACATAACTTTTCCAACCCTCATAAGATTTTAAAATACTTGTGTAGCAGATTAACTACATTTATATTGAATTGAAACTTCATAGTCCGAACAGCATGTTCTAATTCACTTACATATGTAATTTAAAAATATCGAATAAAAAAAAAAAAAAAAAGATCAAAAGAATGAGCACACTACTTCAGATGACTTTCAAACATCTATAAAGCATTTGCATGGCTCATAAAGCTCATATTTATTACCTGCATATTTCACAAGCTGACCTCAAAGACTTTGAGCCCTCTGATAAATATTACATTTATTTAATACCAGTACATGGGTGCATACAGTTAGATACATCAGTACATTGCTTGCTGTAAAGGATTTACACAATTGTGTAACATTTATAGGTTCTCATGATCAGTTGACCCGAAATTAAACAAGGAAGACTGTTCAATTCAACTCTCTGTGTAGGTTCCTCAGGCAAGAACATTCATTAATTTCTTTTGTTAGCCGATCACTGGTTCTCAGTGACACATAGATCCAGATAAAGTGTGTTTACAACAGATTAATGATTATAAAATTCACTTTCAGTGTCTACGTCCCCTCATTCATCTTTCAAACTGTGCTCTATTGTATTGGGTAATAAGGAAATTTTAATCAAGCAGTGTCTGAATGTCTGGAGTTTCAACCTGTGCAGAAGCTTATTGTAAAAACACTCTTATAATATTACCAAAAACATATCTCAGTGTAATACAGAAGTACAATGTCACATTATCACTATTGAGATGCATAGAAATCATGAACACTTTATTTTGTATTTACAGTGCCTCCTTCTGCTCCACTTGTTCTTGTCTTTCCATTTTAACTTCTTCCGTCAAAGCTGCTTTCTGTCTCCGCTCCGCTTCTGTTATTGTCATTGGATGCAGCGGGAAAAATCCAGCCAATCCTACTCAGAGAAACAAGGATAAAAATGTGAGGTATGTGCGACTGGTCTCTTGCTGTAATCATCACTAAACATTGTTATTAAAGGAAATAATGAGTGAGAAATCACATGCTCACCTAGAAGTTTGGCCACTGGTTTTGTCGTATGAGCCCCACATGCAATCCAGTACTTGATTCTTTCATAATTGAAGGCGACAAGTTTTTCATTGCGTATGTTTGGGAGAGGGTCATATGAGCCCAGCTGCTCAATATATTTGCTGTCTCTTGAACATTTATTATAAGCAGCCACAATGCGGTAGAAGGGTCTGTTAGTGGCACCTCCTAGTGCCAGCCTGATGACCACATACCCACCATGATATTTTTTGAGCAGGAAAGAAGCTAAGACAAAGACATAATGCATAAACAATGTAAGTTTCACACTGGACATGTTTAATGTCACAAATATGAGGCTTTAATCCAGAAGCAGTAAGACTGATCCTGGAGGCTACAAATTGGATGTCTTTCTTATTTGAAACGCACATTTAAACTTGAGAGGTCAGTTGTTCAAAAAGTTTAAAGGGGTCATATGACGTTGCTAAAAAGAACATTATGTTGTGTATTTGGTGTAATGCAATGTGTTTCTGTGGTTTAAGGTTCAAAAAACACATTATTTTCCACATAATGTACATTATTGTTGCTCCTCTATGCCCCGCCTTTCTGAAAGGCATCGATTTTTACAAAGCTCATCGGTCTGAAAAGCAAGGTGTGCTGTGATTGGCCAGCTATCCAGTGCATTGTGATTGGCTGAATAACTCAAGCGTGTGACAGAAATGTTACGCCCCTACCATACTGTGATGCCCTGTGTCCTGGCGCGACAAGACAAAAACAATAAAACCCATTACAAACGAGGCATTTGTTGCATGTCCAGTGGGGACATAATTACTGATTATAATGACTTATACTGTCTTTTTACGTGTTGCGTTGCGTATCGCGCTGCGTAAACGTAAAACCATGTTTGGAGAAATGACAAACAAGTGCTACTCTACACTGCTCAAAACTCGCGTTTGAATCATAAGTGGCAAATTCTTTAAATATAAAAAACGTACTTACAGGCTGTGAGTCAAAAGTGCCAGACTGTCCTTTATAGAAACAGCCACCGGCATTGTAGGCTACTCTCACAGGAAACAGTCCTCATCCTCCGCAAAATGCGCAGCACACATCTGAATATTTGGGTTGAAGTGTTCTGGAACAGTGTTGTAAATACAACTTAACCACTGATTTCTAGATGTGTCCTCTTTTGGAAGGTTTCGCTTTCACAACGAAACACAGCGTCACACATGGCGGGCTAGAGAAAGGCGCGGCCGGCGGGCTTGTGGCAACCACATGTGACGACCCTGGGCTGGTGAAAGCCTGACGAAGCGGATATCGTCCTCTTTTGGAAGGCCAAACAAAGTAGTTTCGCTTTCACAACGAAACACAAAGCATCTCCACGACATGGCAGCGGCGGCAACAACAATACTACAGCGAGAATAAAAGTTACGCCTTCTTTCTTTGCGTGAACATTTGGGCGGCGTTATGCAAATCTTCCCACATCGTGACGTAGGTATGTGGGGGTGTGTTAGAACGAGCCGTTTTAGGTAGGTGTGGCTGACTCTTAACTTTTATAAAGAATATCTCTTTGGATTTGAGACTTTAGTCTTTGCAACTTTACAGATCTTCTTTAAGCACCAAGAGCTTGTAACACTCCAAAGAGAAAGGAAAAATTTAAATAGCATCATATGACCCCTTTAATCTGGATCAGAATGATCTAGACGTGTAATCCCATGTTTTGCTATCCAGGATCAGGTAATCCATCTTACTTTTCTACTGGTTTTTCAAAGCAAAATTGGATTGGATCACAATGATCCATATCCTCTTAGGCTTAAGAGGTAGCCTAAAGTTTACATATCTAGTGTCTCTCTCTCTATAATGTCTGTGTTTATGACAAGTGGCCAAGTATGGTTACCCATAGGAATTAGTGCTCTGCATTTATCCCATCCTAAGTGCACACACACAGCAGTGAACACACACACACAGCAGTGAACACACACACAC